TCATGAGAGAAGCATTTTTGTGCAGTGTGCGCATGGCTTTCTGAGGCAGGGTTGTATTCCTCAAGTTGATGGCAGTTCCTTGTCATAACTGAAATGTGTGCTTATGTGCATACACACTTTTCAAGTGTCAATTATAGTGAGAACATTTTGAAATATTTAAGGAGAAAAAAAAAAAGACAAAGCTAATCATCTGTGCTGGTACCCTATGGAGCCAGGCTAAAGGTAGAACCTTTGTCTACCAACTATGGATTCCTTAAAGCCCTCCAGTCCTGGCTCAATTTATGTTAAGTGTGAGTCACTCTGCTTCACTCTCCTTTAAAGATACAATTATCTGCTTCCTATGATTGGATGTGATATGTTTATTTGTATGTATATATTTACTTGCTCATAGTAAAGAGTCCCCTGTACCCCAGGCTGGCCTTGAACTCTTTATGCACTTCTGATCCTCCTGTCTCCACCTCTGGACTGCTTAGATCACAGACAGGGACCATTACACTGGTTTATACAGTGCTCGTCTGACTGAGCTGCATCCCCAGCCCAGGGCCGGGTGAGGTTTAGAAGCAGGGGATGTATGAACTAGGCGAAGCCTCAGTACCTAAAGCTGTGAGTCACTGACAGCCTGAAGAGACCACCAAGTCCATTTCTATGATAGTATCAGGGTGCTGTCTGGAGGCAACGTGTTTCAGATGCTGAGGGAAGCTGTTTTCCCAGTGCCGTGGGGCCGGACAATCTAGAAACAATGCTGAGCAACGTTATTTTACTGATTCGGTCAGTACTGTGTCACACCTGCCACTTGTCTGGTACTGTTAAAAATGAAGGACTGTAGCATGCCAGAGCACAGCAAACCTGATGCCTATAGGAATTTTTATTTTTATTTTATTTTATTTTATTTTTTGCTTTTTTATCCTTCTTCTCAATTCCCTTTACCATGCTAAACCATTAGATTACATTCTTAAAGCCAGCCACCAAAATTTATTCTCTTACTTGAGCACTTCCTCCTCCTGAGGCTGACTACTAAGGTGCAAGTATCAAAATGTTGAAATGCAGCAATCAAAGGCCCCCTTTTGGCTACCGTAAACATGCCCAATCAAAACAAACCAGCTCACCCTAACACAGGGTTTCCCCCTTTCCCTTTATTAACCACCATTTGCCTACAGCCACATCTGTCTCCTCTACATCTAGAGGCAGTCCTATGTCTCTCCGGGGCAAATAAGTCCTTCTTTATGAGGAGAATTTGGTCTTGGTATGTCCTGGGCCATCCTTATCAGTGTGTGCTATACAAACATTTACTCATTAAAACTTCTGATACCCCAAGGATTGACTGTTGGTGTGCCCCTTTCTTGGAGAAAAAAAAGATCAATTTTCAGAGGTCAGGTACCCTGTCCAAGGTCACATGGGGGTAAGGGTGGCTGTTTGACTGACTGGCAGAGCCTTCATTTCCTTGTGGTGTTCTTTCTCTTCCTCTGTTCCTCTATCCCAATCATATGTGGATGGATGTAGAGATGATTTTGGTAGTTTACTTATCTCAGGGCCATGAAATTTAGATTTTGATAGGAAGGCTGGTGACTGACATTTCAAACTCAGTAGCTGTGATCGTGGGGTCCTGTCTGAGTTTAGTAGTGTGGAAAGTGGAGATGGGCCGGGAAGGCAGGCCAACCTTGACACCTGTCAGTGACTTGCCTTTAGTTAGCCCTGTGTGTCCTCAGGTTGGTTTCTTCTCTAACTTAAGGTAGCATTCTGTGAGGGCTGTATAAGTCACCTTGGTGACAGTGCCCAGCATCCTCTGGGAGCAGCTTACCCATGCTTCATTTGTGTTTCACTCCGCCTTTGTCTTGTGAGCTTGTGTGTTTGGGGGTTAAATGAATGTCCCGCCTGCCTTCAGGGTCTTCCTACAGTGGCCTCCCTGGAGCTACAGAAATTCTTAGGAGTCTGACTCTGGGAAATGGAAGTTCTAGGTAGTGTTGGCTTGGTCCTGTGTTGGAGACTTCGGATAAATCTCTTGGCTCATTTGCTCGACCTTTGTTGCTTCTAAATGGCTCCACTCCCAGGCCCCATCTGTCTTGTCATTTCTGACTTGCTATAGCTGGGTCAGGACAAGCCTGTGCCTGAAGGGCCAGCATCTTAGCAGGTGTATGCAGGGTCAGCCAATCATCTTTTCTTTGGGCCCTCGTTAGCACGTCCCATAGCGTCCTCCCACTGTCTCCATGGGGCTGCTTGTCTCTGTGATGAGCAGGGATGGTGTGACCCGCACACTGTCTTTATCCTGTCATCATTTGAGGAGGGCAGAACCTGGGAGCTAAAAAAACAAGTCAGAAGGAGCTCCTTGCTGTGTGTGACCCATGACTCAGGCTGTGAGCACTGTGGTCATTGTCCTTTGTGCTGAAAATTACCCTTGTTTATAAGAGAGCAGGCCATGCTGCTGGAGCTGTCCCGTGTGACCAGGGCTGCCTCAGGTGCTGTGAGGCATACTCAGATAGCTTGAGGTAGGAGGCCTGGTTGCTGTGGCTGAGACATGGAGGGGCAGGAGCCACGTTGGCGCCCCTGGAATCTCAGCCTCTAAGGAGAAGTTAGGCATGTGTGTAACCCATCACAATGTGTCTTCTTCAGGATTCTGCTTCCCTGAGCTAGTGCCCCGTAGTGGGCGGCAGCTTCATTGCCTCCAGCTTAAGGTCCCCACAAAGTGAGTTAATAATATCCAGTAATTACACAGTGAGTACATTTCACAGGTCTTTCAAAGCTGGGCCCAGGGATGCCTCCTGTCTATGTAGAAAGCACTTTACTAACGAGTGAAACCTCCAGCAAACCACTGTACAGTATTCTGAAGGATCCATGGTTTTATTTTGCCTTCCCCTCATCACTGGTGTGCAGAGATCTTTCGAGATTCTGTGGCATTTGGGAACCTTTTGAAACCCCCTCTGGAACATGACAGGCTACTGCAACATTTCTTGGTCAATTCTGATAGCTGTTGATTTGCTCAGTACACAGGGTTCCCCAGCAAAGACAATTCAAGAAAATGGCACAGGGATCTGCCTCCCTTAAGGAAAGCAGTTAACAAAGTTACAGAATGGGACCAGCTGTCCTTCTTTTGACACTTGGTCTTATGAATCCAGTGTTAATAGGCCCGTTGCCACGCCCATCGCCAACATGCGCAGCCACCAGTACCTTCCTGTCAAGGTGCATTGTCATTGCTGGGCTCCTGTCTACCAGATGCTGCAGCCAAGGTTGTAGGACTTTCCTTGCCAACCTGCAGGCTGACACTCAGGGCTGACATCTGCCTTTTCTTTCTTCACTGCTCTCTGGGTCTTATCTGAGTTTACTTGGCCAGACCGGGGGTGGGGGATGGGGGGAATGGGACGACACCAACAACAGCCACCAAAGAAGAACAAAACAAACCATTCTCTGAGAGAAACCTACCAAACCCATTAAGGGAAAGTGCCCTTGGCTGTTCCCTGCAGTACTTCAGTCTGCTGAGGTGATTGCAGTGATGGATCCAAAGGTACTGAGAGGAGAGCATGGAAAGGGAGCAAGCTATCCCTGGCGCCCAGGAATTCTACTGAGCATGTTGGCTGATCTCATTTGGTCCTTCCCCAGTCCTGTGACGTTGGTACATAGCAGCTGAGACCCTTATACTGCCTATGTTTGACGGTCATACAACTTGCGAGGGGCTGAGTTGATTCTTGAACCCCAGAACCAAAGCTCATTGCAACGCCATCGCTGTCCACAGAAGCTGTCTTTACAGCTTTTTATTTGCCACAAGGAATGAAATCTTGGTGTGTGTTTGGGACTGGATACTGAACCCAAAGAGCTTCAGGCATCTGCTACTAAGTTATACCCCCAGCTCTCCTCTCTTTTTACTTAAAGCAAGCATTTATTTGCTGAGTGTGTGTGTGTGTGTGTGTGTGTGTGTGTGTGTGTGTGTGTACTCAAACTTGTGGAAGTCAGAAGGCAACTTTTGGAAGTTGGTTCTCCCTTTTATTATGTGGGTCCTAGGGACTGAACTCCGAGCTGTCATTCCTGGTGGCAGGCACCTTTACCTGCTGAGCCATCTTGCTGACGCTTTTTATAATTTTGTACGTTTTATTTTGAGTTGGGGTGTCTAATTAAGTTTTCCAGGTTGACCTTGAACTCACAGTGATATGTATCCTAGGAGTGTCTCTGATTTCAGATTCTCCTGCTTCAGACTTCTGAGGAGATGAGATTATAAGCCTGTACCTAGCCCTGCTCAGGAACAAGATTATTGGACCCAACCTTTCAGAATCATTTGGATTTAGAAACACACAGAGCAAAAGGAAGATTGTTTTGGTAAAAGACAGAAAGACTTAGCTCAGAAGCCTGAGAGAGGGAATAAGCGAGACTTGAAGCCTGAGGCAGGTCATGATGGGACAGATAAATAGGACACATGTGACAGTCTCATGGCCATCATTTTATCATCTCCCAGTACCTCAGTGCCTGGAGCTTGTAGGTATTTACTGAATGAACAGGTACTAGAAAAGTCAGTCATCTTTACCATAGTATGAGGCCCTGACAGGCAGGGCCCGGGCCTTAGACATTTTGAGTGTTTAACTTGTTACAATGGTTATACCCACATCAAACAGTAAATATGCCCTGATAGGCTGAATAAACACACAGCAGGTAGGAAAGGGATAGAGAGAGACTCCTGGAAGAGGGAGCCCTTTGACCTGACTAGTGGGACAGAGGGAGGAAGGTCTTCATTGCCAAGGAAAAGGAACTTTTATGTTCGTCTTGAGGCATTCACAAAGGCTGTCTTTCTGTTCGGTGTGTAACACTCAGTCATAGAGTGCTAGCCCTGGGTACCATGCTGAACACACACACACACACACACACACACACACAAAGTGGATGGGAGCCTCAGCGGCAATAGAGGCTTTGTTGTGTCTCTTTCATCATTGATTTTAGGATCATTTAGCTAGAGTCTAGCCAGCGTCCTTCAGTTAGATGTTTTCAGCCGGGTTCTAAATAAAGACTGCCTCTCATTCCAGGTGTTGGCTGAGAGCAGGATTTTAGGATAGCCCAGTAGCAGCGTTGGGAGAAGCCTTTTCTGCAGGTGGCTAGAAACTTCTGGTCCTCAAGACGCAGCTGAATCCTCACCTGGACTTATGACTCGAGGTCTTCCTCCCCTCCTGCCCATTGAGTTCCACAAGATGGGCTCCTTCCGCCGGCCTAGACCACGATTTATGAGCTCCCCTGTGCTCAGTGAGCTGCCTCGCTTCCAGGCTGCCCGGCAGGCTCTGCAGCTAAGTTCCAACTCTGCCTGGAACAGGTAAGCGCTTGTGGGGCTCATACCACCAGGGAGGGCTCTGGGGTATTCTGGGGGTGGGCAGAGCATCTGCTGCCTCCGAGAGCTTTGCTCATGAAGACTGATGATGATGCTGGTGATGAATGAGGCAAGGGTCAGTTTTACCAGCCTGGGATCACTGGGTTAGAATGTACAGTTACTGTTCATGTGCCTTAATACCCAACACTGGGTGAGTATCCAAAAGTGGAGTCTTTCAAGCGACCTCACATTACCTCTTTCCCCTTTAAGAAGATAGGTGTGTGTCTGTGCAAAGCTCGGTGAGTGGTAGACACCAGTGTTTTCTTTCCCCTGCGCAACTGGTGCTTGGGGTAGAAAATATAGCTTTGGAACATGTCCCACAGAGGTAAGGCACCAAGCCCGAGCAGATCAGCAAATCAGTACGCCTTGTAAGTTGGTGGGCTACTGGTTGTCAGATCTGTGTTGGACTCCGGGTAAATGAAAGCATCACTGAACTTTTTGTGAGTGGCCCTTAGGCACACTCAGCTGGTGCAGCTCAGGAGGGCTCTCTGGATTGCTCTGGTATCCTAAGGCTCATTGTCCTTTGTAAAATTCCTCAGCACAGAAAAGATAATAATCAGCTCTTCTGCTGATGATTCCAGGTTTGATCCACGAGAATGTGGAGTTGAGCCCTGACTGTGGCCCTTTTAGAAACGATGCCAGTATACTTCTCCCCCACACCCCCATCATGAAATAAAGGGACAGGGAAGGTCCATGGAAAATTCTGTTATAAAGGCAAACAGTTATCACTTCTGTCGGAGAAGATGATGGCTTCCCAGTTGTAAGATCCCAGACAGGGTTAGCTCCTGCTGGCAATGAATGCTTTTTAGATACTTCCAGGCCCCAGTGGTGGCGTTTCTCAGAGAGCTGATCCATCGCTTACCTCCATATGCACAAGGGAAGGAAGGAGCCCTGGGTGACCTTCAAGAGACCGAAGCTACCTCTGAATTCTTTCACCTCACACTCCTCAATAATACTTCTGGGACAGTAGGAGAGAAGTTGTGGCTGTGTGGATGCCCTAGGCTGCCCAGCTCTTCCAAGACCTTCTGTTTGGGCTGTTTGAAAATATGGCCCCTGGAGGCAGGTCACCTAACTTGGGATACTTTCTCTCTCTCTGCAGCGTGCAGACGGCGGTGATCAACGTTTTCAAAGGGGGCGGCTTGCAGAGCAATGAGCTGTACGCGCTGAATGAAAACATCAGGTACTTGGCTGGCCAAAACCAGTGCTGTTTTTCCATTATGGGGCTAAGGGTCCTCCCCACCTCCCACATCCACAGCCGAGCTTGGCCCTTGCTCCTCTGCTTACTGTTGAATTGCTCTTGTGGCTGCTGTGTTCTGAGACCCATCTAGACTTCTCATTCTGATATGATGCCTATCCTCATATGTATAAATGCACGAGGAGGTACAGGTTGGTAGGCAGGGGCTGGTACTAATTCTATAAACATTCTGCCTAACCATTAAGCACCATATTAAGTAATATGACTTAGTACCTGGAGGCAGATTATTTGACAGTTACTGATGTTAATAAATGACTGAGTAACAAATATTAGAGTACCTCCTTGATAGCTGTGTGCTGGAGCAGACATATACGAACCCCGGTCTCCTGATCTTTTGTTTGTTTTGTTGTGAGATAGGATCCTAGGTAGCCCACACTGACCTTGTTCTGGTTATATAACCGAGGATGGCC